AAAAAAAAAAAAAAAGACCATTAATACATCTGGCCCTAGGAACATAGCAAACAGTGAGAATATAGGAGAATCAGAACTGCACACAGAAGATAAAGAGCAGGGGTCTCCAGATTTTGTCCTCATTTACATTTCCTTCTTTGTAATTGGAGTAGCATCATTTGGAATAAATCAGTTCTTCAACTATTAGAAACATCTTGCTTCTGGCTTTTGTTTTAGGGGAATGCTGGGGAGGGGTGATACACTTGTCCCAGGTAATTTTTCTCTATGCCTAACTTACCTTTTAAGTAGTGTCCAGAATAAAATAAGGCATCCCATTTGTTTCCAGGAAATCTTAAGGAGGGAGTCAGGTGGAGATGGGTTTTATTCCATGTTGCCATTGCCATTTTAGTCCTACTGACTGTGGTACATTCGCCGTTTCATAGAGTCAGGATATCTTTAGGATACCTCAGGCATGTGTCCTTTCTTTCTTTCTTTTTTTAAAAGATTTTATTTATTTATCTGAGAGAGAGTGAGGGAGAGAGAGAGAGAGAGCGCACAAGCAGGGGGAGGGACAGAGGGAGAGGGAGAAGCAGGCTCCCTGCTGAGCAAGAAGCCCAATGTGGGGCTCAATCCCAGGAGTCTGGGATCATGACCTGAGCCGAAGGCAGATGCTTAACCGACTGAGCCACCCAGGCACCCCCTTTCTTGTCCTTTCTTAAGTGCCAGTGTGCTAGGGCTATTTGGGTCTTATTTTAAAGATGTGTATTTTATCTTCCTGTATAGTCTTTTAAGATTGTTTTTATTATACAAGTAACTTATGCTTATTGTAGGAAATTTAGGAAATAAATGAGCAAAAAGACACAAAATATTAACCTTAATGATTGCTCAGAGAACACCCACACACATGCCCATATCATAGCTGTTAACAAAGGTGAATTTAGCCTTCATAAGCTGCGTTGTAGCCCATTTTCTTCTTTCACGGCTTGTCTCTTCATAGTTGTTCTTACTGTGTTGTTTGGAATGGCCATATAAATAATTCTGTATTTGTAGAGGATGCTGTTTAATAAGAAGGAGGAAATGTCACCATTCCTTACTATTTCTACATCTTTTAAGGAAACTTAGGAAAATAAAGGATGGGAGAGAGAAAACTATACACAATGAGACAAATTAGAAGAAGTGACATGGCTAGGATATGTCTTATTGCAGAACATCTTTTTTGTTTCGGTTACTTCGTAAGATAGAATTGTTTATGGGGTTGTTAACTGAGTATAGAGAAGAAAAATTATAAATATTTATTGGAGACTGTTTTTTTGTTTCTTGTTTTTACCCTGGAAGGATGTGCATTGTTGGGGAAATGAAAGATCTTTATAATGTATTGAAATTTGGTAGAATAAAATCTTCTAACATTTTTTTAATCCCATCAAGAGAAATAAGTGCTTTTCTTGTTTTGCACTTAGCTAGTAAACTTTACTGTGTTTGCTTTTGAGTTATTATTTTGAAGGATTTTCTGGCTTTTGTAAAGTTTTAACTGAAACCTGGATTTCACAGCAACACAGAAAGGAAAATGGGTAATCAAGAGAGACAGACAGACACATGTACACACTTGACTTTTCTCATCAGCCTGCTGTGAATCTTCTGTTTGTAATAAGAGAAACTAATTTTGGCCAATGTAAATGAAAAAGCGGGTTTGTTGGATGAACATTGGGTGGTTCACAGGATCAAAGCTGTCGAAGAGCAAACCTTAAGAAGGAGATGAAAATCTGGGATGTTTTGGGCCCCAGCTGTAGGAAGGCTGTGGGTCTTTTCTCTGGGAACACTCACTGCCTTTTTTTTTTTTTCCTTCTCAAGGCATAACATATATTCTGTAAAGTGCATTACTCTAAATGTACAGCTCAGTGAAATTTTTCGTGAGTATATACCCATGTAACCACCACCCAGATCAAGATATAGGACATTTTCAGATTTCTGCTTCCCAGAAGTTTCCTTTGGGTGGGGTATTGCTCTTTTGAAATGAATCTGCATCAACGGCTTCTGGCCTTTGTGTATGTCTGTTCAAGTTTTAAATTCCTGGGGGAGAGAATCTGATTGACATAGAAAGGCTAGTTAGTTATGGATGAGGGGCAGAGTCACACATCAGACGCTGGGCCACTGGGGGCCTCCCCTATGTATTGGTACTGTACCTGAACCCCAGAGGGTGGTCATGAGCAAGAGTACCACTCCATTTGGTGTCTTACTCACCTTGTACTAGAACACAGGATCTCACTTTAGTAATTGACTTTTCTTGTGACTTGACTATCTTCCGTAGAAACCTGTCTTTTGACTCAGAGGAAGAAGAACTCGGGGAGCTCCTCCAGCAATTTGGAGACCTTAAGTATGTCCGTATTGTCTTGCATCCAGACACAGAGCATTCTAAAGGTACTTGTCGTCAGCTTGTTAGGCCCTAAAAAGGTAGAGACTGCTGCCATGGACACTGATTAGGTTACTTGAGAACATAATGTGTGTCATTCTGAGGGGTCTACAGTCTATCCAGCCCAGGTTTCTGTGGTCCATAGAAGCACCAAGGACATTCTGAGGTTGTCTTCCAAGATATCAAGCTCAGCATCTTTAATGGTGCTGCCAGCCACAATTTTGTCTAAGCTTTTTAAGCCCTTGCTTATTTACTTTAGGGTAATGAATTCCATTTGTTGTTCTCCTTTGAATTTCAAATGTGATAGCATCTCATGGGTATTAATCATTCCACATTGCTCGAAATTACTGGGATCTTTTTCAGTTGCTTTTGTTAGAGATGGAAGCTAACAGAATTTTTGTTGCAGTGGCAACAGTCAGAAGGAAAGCTGTATATAGCAGGACTGCTGCCTTAGATTTTTTTCTCTAAAGCTATTTCTTTTGAACTTTTAAGGATTGGCCCCAGTTCATTCTAGTGTACTGTTGTTTAGGGGAGCAGCATCTTTTCAGTATATTCATAATCTTTGATTTCATCAACTGCAGTCATTCTCCTAAAGCAGTGAATTCTTAATTCATTCTGGTTCTTGCTTTCTTTGAGATCTAGCAAAAGCTATGAACCATCTCTCCAGAAAAATGCCACTTCTGAGGGTTTGTGGGCTTTCTGGAATCTATTCAAGGGTTAAGAACCTCTGTTCTAAACCTTATTTTCCAAATTGATGAGACCTGATCATTTTTGGTTTTTCCTTAGCCAAAAAGATATAAGTAGGTCAGTATGATGGAAAGAAAGCTGAACTGCTTCCTGGATATTAGGGATCTAATTGTAACTGAGCCATAGACCAGCTGGGTGATTTTGGTAAATTGTTTAACCACTTCAGGCTTCAGTTTCTTATCTGTAGAATGAATAGGTTCAACTGGAGTAATTACTTAATGTGTCTTCAACTCTAATACTCAACTATACTTCTTGGACCTTCTCCATTTCCAGTATGTTTTTCTAAAAATGGGCAACTAGAATTGCATAGAATGTTCCTAGTACTATAGGATATTGTATTACTTTGGTATCTTTTGTTTCCTTTTGAGTGCAGTAGTCTGTTGGGTTGGTATTTTCAGAATGTAGTCAATAGTTGACTTGCTCTGTCTCTTTCTTGATCTATTAATATTAGCTTAGAGTTAACGATTTTTTTTTTTTAAAGATTTTTTATTTATTTAATTGACAGAGAGAGGGAGAGACAGCGAGAGAGGGAAACACAAGCAGGGGGAGTGGGAAAGGGGGAAGCAGGCTTCCCGCCGAGCAGGGAGCCCGATGCGGGGCTCGATCCCAGGACCCTGGGATCATGACCCGAGCCGAAGGCAGTCGCTTAACCAACTGAGCCACCCAGGCGCCCCAGAGTTAACGATTTTAATAAGCATAGTTTTAATTATTTTTTTTAAGATTTTATTTATTTATTTGTCAGAGAGGAAGAGAGAGAGAGTGAGCACAAGCAGGGGGAGCTGCAGGCAGAGGGAGAAGCAGGCTCCCCGCCGAGCAAGGAGCCCAATGCGGGACTCCGTCCCAAGACCCTGGGATCATGACCTGAGCTGAAGGCAGACGCTCAACCGGCTGAGCCACCCAGGTGTCCCAAATACATTGTCTTTTTCTAGCTCTTATTAAATTTTTTTGCCTACTCACACAGCCTTGGCCGCCTCCTAGCATTTATCCCTGTCAGCATGCCATTTCACTGTCTAGGAGAGCTAAAAATTATCTGTAGACTTTTAGGGAAGTGTTAAGACTAAACCCAATACTGACCTAGGAATTTCCAGTGTTAAAATTCTTACCCATTCAGAGAGAAGTACCTTTTTTCTTCATATTGGTTGGATAAGCTAATCTGTCAGTTAGAACATATTTCCCCCATCTTCCTCCCTTTCTTTCTGTATTGTTTGTTTCTTCCTATTGAGTATCTATTAATGCCAGACACTATGGTAGGTGCTAGCAGCCTAGAAATATGGCCCTTACTCCTGAGGCATTCCTTCTGTTTGGGAAGATGCCACCTGACCAGAGCTGTAAAAAGAGAGATGTGATTGGAGGCTTGGTGGGTGGGGCACTTGGCCCTGCCTGGAGGAGGCAGGAAGGACCTCACCTAGATCGTGACTCTTGGGTTGGCCTGCCACGTGTGTTGTCTCAGTCTGCTGCCATTCATTCTTGTAGAGGACAAAAGATCAATCAATGCCCTAGTAGCTCTAGGACGTTTTTTACATATATGAGGGAATATTTAAATTTGTATAAAGGAATACTAACAAAATATTGTGAAACTTGTACTTCTTTTTTGGAGTCTACTGTAAGGTGAACTTTTTTTCTTTGCTGATAAAAACTGCTTTTTATCAATAGCAGAAATTAGGATGGATTGATTGGCTCTGCATCTAACCAGTGACAGGTGAGCCTGTGCAAATTTGAGGGTATGAGTCAAGAATTGAGCTTATGGCTTTCTGGTTCACTGCTGTATTCATGTGATAGAAGCCAGGGCCTTTGACTACAAGAGGCCGGTCCGCTCATATCTGATGTCTCCCAGGTGGCTTTGAGGACAGTGAGATCTGTAATTAATTTCAGGTTAGGTGGTTCCTGCCTCATTTTTTAGTCCTCTAAAAGGCAAGCCAGTAAATAATGCTGATTTAAGTGGAATTTCTCTACCATATCTTGTGGCTTTTTCTTACTAAGGAGAGCAACGATGAGACTAAAGTTCTAAGAAGCATTGGAAAAGATGAAGTAATAGTAAAATTTCATTGTAAGCACGTGTCCCATCTATCTTTGAACCTTCAGTGCCTGGTGCAGTGCCCGTCTCCTAGCCCCTAACAGAAGGACGCTGCTCCCCCTTCCACTCTGTGTCAGCCTGCCATTTGTAGTGTCATCTTTGGCATCCTGGTGGGCCATAGGGGTTTGGCATCTCACTTAATTTTGTTTCTCGGTGCAGGTTGTGCATTTGCCCAGTTCATGACTCAAGAAGCAGCTCAGAAATGCCTTGAAGCTGCTTCTCCAGAGACTGAGGTAAGGAGGACATTTCTTTTACCCCTTAACTTAGGGCACAGTGGCTCCGAACCCCAGCATCTGCTGTTTATGCCCAGCTTTATTAGTACTGTCAATAATATAATAATAATAAAGCTAACACTTCTTGAGCACTTGGTGTGTGTTAGGCACTCAGCTTTACATGTATTACCTTATTTAATCCTTATGTCAGTTCTGCAGGGGTATGGTAATTACAATTATTATACCTATTGGAGTGCCTGGGTAGCTTAGTTGGTTAAGGGTCTGACTCTTGACTTCAGCTCAGGGCTCAATCTCCAGGGTTGTGAGTTCAAACCCCATGTTGGGCTCCACACTGGGCATGGAATGTACTTAAAAAAAAAAAAAAGATCAATTATTATACCTATTTTATAAGTGAGGAAGCAGGTATAATTATCTAATGTTTATTAATCACTGTATGTCAGCCTCTATCATAGGGTGATGACATGAAAGGTTGGGACAAGAAGGGATTAAGGTCATCTATAAAGTGGAGTCAATGAGAAAAAATGTATGGGTGATGGATTTTTCTGTGTATTCTATAAGCAAGTATATAGTGTTTTGAGATAAGTTATCCTGTACTGTCATTATCTCTTAAATTCTCCTAAGTAGAGTTAATACTACCATTTCATTAGCTTTCTTTAGAATTTAAAAAATTGGCTCTATATAGATCAATTTTCCTCAATTTGGGTCTACTTTGGGCCTAATCAACTCCCATAAAATAAATTACTACTAACTGCCCTAAGTATATACATGGCCTTTTGCACAGCTATACTAGATGTTAGGCTCAGTAGCCCACTTGCAGCCACCTGGGCTAAAACATCCTATGGGTTGGGTTCCATAGCATAATTGGGATTTGCTGTTTTCCCTTTCCTTGGCATTCCTTGTCGGGGGCTTTGTCTCTACTCATTGTGAATTTTAAGAGAGAGGGTTGCAATCTGTTACAGGGTGGTGGGCTTAAACTGGATGGCCGGCAGCTCAGGGTCGACTTGGCAGTGACCCGTGATGAGGCTGCAAAGCTGCAGACAAAGAAGGTGAAGAAGCCTACCGGGACCCGGAGCCTCTACCTGGCCCGAGAAGGCTGTGAGTAGTGGAAGGGGGGGTGAACCCGGCTTCTGACCAGCGGGCCCCGTGCTATGACAGTGACCAGCAACGGTATGTCTGGGGGCATGTTTCACATTCAAAACCCACATGTCCTCTTCAACATTACATTATTATTCCACTTGAGCAGATGGGGCTTTCTGTTAGGAAGCCTTCACTCAGTTTGTCGGTTAACCAGCCCCATTCTCTTTTCTGCCTGCTTGCCTTGAGACCTTTAGGTCAGAGGATTAGCAGGGCAAAGAGGGAGGAAAAGCTCAAATTACCTTTGCTTCTTGTCATGATTTCTGATAGTTTTTCTGAAGGAGTTGAAAATTATGACTAAAATTACCCTTCTGAATTATTCATAGATTTAAAATGTGCACCCAGTACCTTTCCCTTAATGTCAGAAAGATAATCAGAAATGAGCTTGAATTAAAAAACAAAACAAAACAGAAGAATCCCTTCCTCTAGGTCATACAGTATTTGTCAGCCTACCTGCTGCACAGCCGCACAGCCCAGACTAGTGATCTAAGGCCCTTAGCCTTTGGTTCTAGGCCTCTGTTTGGCCAGGTGGCTGTTTTCAGGTTGGCTTAACTCACTGCTTCGTACTGACCCCCAGGTACTCGAGGAACAGTAAAATTCCAAGGGCAGGTTATAGGTGGAGCATTTTTGTATCCCAGATACCTAAAATGCACTTGTTATCAGAACTTCTTCTAGGCCTTTCCATCTGATGTTGGGCATACGCACATGAAGCTTTTTGAGGGGAGGGAAGGAGAAGAGGAACAAATTCACAAAATGTTCAGTTTTAGTCCTTGAGAGCAGCACAGAGCTGAGAACTTAGCCCTGTAGCCTATTTCTGGACCTACCCAAATGCCACTATGTCCTGGCCAGCATAGTCCTCTGGGCCCTGTACAAAGAGCTTGCATCATTCAAATCACATTCCTCTTGTTGCTCAGTGAAAATTCCCTTGCTGATGTCTTGGCCTTTTTCCCTCTTTTTGCAGTGATTCGTGCTGGGACTAAGGCTGCGGAGGGTGTGAGCGCTGCTGATATGGCCAAAAGAGAAAGGGTGGGTAGATTAGGCACCAGCCTTCAAGTTCTGCATGACTTATTATAAATCAATAAATAATAGCTATTGAATGCTGGAGGTGCCTGTCAGAGAGCCAGGCATCAGTCACAGACCCTGCTTGCTTACAGTCTTGTTAAAGGGAAGCACACGTGTAAAACAGCAAATAACCCAACATTGTACATCATATTATATGAGCGTTGTATGCCATTATAAGGACTGGGTCTTATTCTTTAATTTCCCGATGCTCAGCATTAAATGTTTGCCAAAATAGTATGCTTCTACAAAATGCGATAGGCACTTAGAGGCTAAGGCTATATATAATTAGGTTTCAGTGTAAAGGCAGAATAACCTAAGAAAGGAAGATCAGAGTGGGCTGGAGTTAGTAGGGAAGGAGGTAGATGTGGGTCTTAGGAGGAAGAGTTAAGATGTCTTTTTTTGGGAGGGGCTATGTCCAGATTATAAAATCATCTTAGGAAAACTCCATGTCATGGGAGTTTCCACTGATAACTGATATCATTGAGTTTCTTTGCTGCTTAGTAGTGTTCATTCGCAGTAATTTTACCTTTAGCCCAAGTAGTCTACTTTCAAATAAGCCAGCCTAGAATGATAAAGAGGCATGACCATGAAGAGAATGAGCTTTGGAGCTTGAAGGTACAGAAGATGAAGAAGAGAGATGAGAATATAATGACACCAAGAGGCAGTGTGTTTTTCCTGTGTACAGTTTCTAGTCTCGTGTTCACAACTTTTTTTGGTAGTGAGCGTCTGGAAATCATGGTATTTGGTGGGCATTGTATGCCCCTTTCTGATCACAACATGATAGTGACACATTTTAATTTTCCCTTAGAACAAACTTTTCTAGCAAAAAGCTCAGATTATATGCATTATAATTCACAGCAGGCACAGCTTTTCCTGGGAGAAAAAGCATACTGTTGAGCTCAGGCCTGAGAGCCTCTTCAAATAACCCTTTAATCAGAGTATCTTTATTTAGTGATTTGTTAGTACCTTTACCAAATAAGGAACAGCAGAAATAAGACTTGGTAAAAGAAAAAATTTAAACTTTTTTCTACTAACCTGATTTTTAAAAAACACACCAGGAGAAGAGTGTTACCCTCTTGCTTTAGCAAACGTTGCCCTGGAACTGGTGTTTTGTGCAGCATAGTTGAGTCCAGTGCTCCAGAAACAAAATTCCTTTCTGTGGTCGTGGACAGTCTTTTGCCTCAAGGTGGCAGAGTTGAGACAACATTCTATCAAGTATTCTTTAAACAAATTCCATTTCCTTTTGGAAGGACTAGATAATTAGCTGGAATTGGTGGGCAGATAAGGACTAGGCATAGATGGTAAGCACAGTATTATTTATTATTTGCTTTAGGCCGGGTTTTGAGTTTGGGATTTTGTTTGTATATTACCTCGTTTCAGCCTTACATCAGTGCTGAGATTGGTATTTTGACCTACAGTTCCACTTTGTAGAGGGGAAAAACTGAGGCTTAAAAAATTTCATGTAACTTCTCCAGTTAAGGATGGATTTCCAATTTAGTCTGAATCTAGAGCCCAACTATCTTACCAACTGATCTTACCAACTATTCACCATCTTTCCTCTTTGAACCTTTCTTTCCCTATGCTAGGCATCATAAGGCTGTAGGTGGGTGATTTCCCTCCTTTTGTCCATATGTGTGGTTATTGGATGGGGCTGTGGTGGTCACAGTTCTTTCCTTTTGGAGAATTATGAACCTGCAATTTTAAAGGCTGGATTGTATTGTTAACAATTTGTTGTTCTTTCAGTTTGAGCTGCTGAAGCATCAGAAACTCAAGGACCAGAATATCTTTGTGTCCCAGACCAGGCTCTGCCTGCACAACCTCCCAAAGGGTGTGGACGACAAAAAGCTCAGAAAGCTGCTGCTGAATGCCACCCGAGGGGAGAAGGGGGTGCGCCTCAAGGAGGTGAGAGTTGGCCCTGCCCACTCCGAAGTTTGGTACTCATCCTAGATCAGATTGAGCGTTTATTTCAGACTGTGGTGCTAGTAGATTGACAGTTTCTTTTGGGCACATTGATGTTGGCCACAACATCAACAGATGAGGCTGAGTTTGGCAGTTTTCATGTTTGTTTGTTTTCTCTTCTTAGAACTGCCTTTCAACGCATTGTCCAAATTGCAGCAGAATGTGAGGAAGTGTCTGCCCTCATGAATTAATTTGAATGCTTGCTGTGTGCTCAGCATCATAGTAGGTGCTGTAATGTTAATTTTCTCGCAGAGAAAATAATCTGTGTAGTTTGCTCTTTAGGAGAACATTTGTGCCATCTAGGCTCTTACTGTATGAAAAGTGCTGTGTGGTAAGCACAGACAGCCATGCAGGTCTTCAACAGTTGTAGTTGTATTAGACAAACGCTGGATTCGCACCAAGATTTGATTAGACCGCTGTGTGAGTACAGAGACTTCTCCTCTGCCCCAGCCTCTGCAAGGCTTTGTCATGGCACTTACTATTACACCGTCCTGTCATTGTCTGACAGTCATTTCTCCCGAGCAGAATGAGCTCTTGGAGAGGAGGTGGGTCATTGCTCCCAGGTCTTGGCAGAGTACCTGGAACGTAGTAATCTCTCAATCTATATTTATTGAATAAGTAACACAGCCAATATTATAAATCTACTTTGCTCTGATTTCTGACTGTAAACTGTTTTCCTAATCCTGGAAAATCTCTTCAAAATGTATGGCATTGGTATTTGGGGAATTACATGAGAGAATGTGAACATATCAGCACATATCTGACACCACTCTTAGTAAAACTGTTCAAAGTGTTACTGGTGTAGAGGTCAGTTGTGTAATTTCTCATATCAACATCCACAATACTTAGTAAGTGCCTGTACATTGACAACCTGTCATCAGGGAAAATCTTTTTTTTAAAGACTTTATTTATTTGAGAGCGAGAGCAAGCGAGAGAGCACAAGCAGGGTGAGCAGCAGAGGGAGACAGAAAGGGAGAAGCAGGCTCCCCGCTGAGCAGGGAGTCCAAAGCAGGGCTCGATCGCAGGACCCTGGGATCATGACCTGAGCCAAAGGCAGATGCTTAACCAGCTGAGCCACCCAGGCGCCCCCAGTTAGGGAAATTCATGTGTTTTACAATATTTGCATTGTGTTGAATTTTTTCTTTATTTTGTTTATTTATTTATTTGTTTATTTTAAAAGTCTACTGTCATTTTAAGGGGATTTTTTTTAAGACTGATTTATTTATTTGAGAGAGAGAAAGAGCACGAGCAGGAGGGGCAGAGGGAAAGGGAGAGCAAGAATCTCAAGCAGACTCCACGCTGAGCATGGAACCCCATGCAGGGCTCGATGTCACTACCCTGAGATCATGACCTGAGCTGAAACCAAGAGTCAGATGCTTAACTGACTACACCACCCCGGTGCCCCTTGAATTTTCTCTTTAATTCTTTAATGTGTAGATATAGTATCTCAGCAGGATCGTAAGCTTCTTGAGGACAGGAACCTCACTTTAAGCTTTTCTTAACTTCCCTACAGTACATGGCACAGTTGTAGGGACAATGTAGGTACTAGAAGTATACCAAATGCAGCATCCATCTGTCCTAATACCTAGATGTCTCCATTACATCAGAACTACAGCTTCCAGGAGTAATATGTAAACAATCAGTTTTTCCAAGATATGCTACTATGGTATGGTATCCTCGATGCCCCAGGATGTCTATTACATTCAGCTTAAGGATTTAAGGGAAAATCATGCCAGAGAAGATCTGAGCTCTGAGCAAAGCCAGCTGAAGCTTCTTCCTATAATCCTGAGGCTATGTCAGGCAGGCCCTTCTCTGTGCCTGAATGTCTTTCTTAAAGATTTACTTATTGGAACACTACATCAAAAACTAATGACGTAATGTATGGTGATTAACATAACATAATAAAAAACAAATAAATAAAATTTGCCTAAAGCAAAAAAAAAAAAAGATTTATCTATTTATTTGAGAAAAAGGGGAGAGGGAGAGAAGCAGACTCCCTGCTGAGTGGGGAACCCAACTCAGGGCTTGATCTCATGACTCTGAGATCCTGACCTGAGTGAAGTCAAGAGTTGGATACTTAACCGACTGAGCCCCTCAATGTCTTTCTTTCTTTCTTTTTTTTTTTTTAAGGATTTTATTTATTTATTCGACAGATAGAGAGCACAGGTAGGCAGAGTGGCAGGCAGAGGGAGAGGGAGAAGCAGGCTCTCTGCTGAGCAGGGAGCCGGACGTGGGGCTCGATCCCAGGACCCCAGGATCATGACCCAAGCCGACAGCAGCCACTTAACTGAGTGAGCCACCCAGGCGCCCCCCTCAGTGTCTTTCTTAAACTAAAGCCATCAGGCCTTCTTTTTCTTCTTTAGTAATTTCCTTTCTGAGTGGCTTCTTCAGTGATGAGAACTATGGACAGCACTTCATCCTCAGCAATAACTTACACCATTTAAAGTACCGTATACCTCTCAACTTGTATGTATTGTTCACAGTTGGCGATTATAATTGGGGGGTATTTTATTTACATGCTTATTTATAGGTTTTTGTGGATCTCTGTAAACTCTTAGGAAGCTAGAAAGTATTTAATTGGTTTTATGCCTTCAGTAGGTGTATTCTAATAAGACACTGGTAAGTATTACTGCAGTATGACTGTTGTGGCAGTGATATGGACGAGGATTCTGTTCTAGTCACCTGATTTTTCAGGAGCCTGTTCATGCTCTCATCCTGTAATCATGGGTTCTTTCTCTTGTTCTACTCTTAGTGTAGGGTGATGCGAGACCTCAAAGGAGTGCATGGGAAAGTTAAGGGTCAGTCCCTGGGCTACGCCTTTGCGGAGTTCCGGGAGCACGAGCATGCCCTGACAGCCCTGCGCCACATCAACAACAATCCAGAGATTTTTGGGCCTCTGAAGGTGAGCCTCAGCCTGTGGGCGGACCTGTTCCTCTGAGGGCCATTTGCGGAGAACCATTTCTCTCCTTTACGTCCAGTGTCCTCTGACTTGTGTGTGATGGGAAAGGGTAGCCAGTCCGTGGAGGGAATGAGCAGTGATTCAGCTGGTAAGATGATTAGAACGAATTGCAATCAAAATTGGATAGACTTTGTGCAGAATGGCCCCTTACCTTCAAGTAGAGTAAGTGAGCAAGAGAGGGGGCAGGGGTGGGGGACAGCTCAGCTCACTGCACTCAGAAACTTAAGAAATCTAATGAATGACATTCTCCTTCTGACACAGAGACCGATAGTGGAGTTCTCTTTGGAGGATCGAAGAAAACTTAAAATAAAGGAACTGAGGATTCAGCGCAGCCTGGTATAGAACTGGAATGTTTTTCTGTTTTTGCTTGTTTTTGTTTTTTTTTTTTAATTGTGGTCAGATAACACCTAACATAAAATTTACGATTTTTAAGTGTATAGTTCAGTTAAAACAGTTTTTTTCAGGCTATATTTAAACTCCTGTTTTGTTCAGTTTGTGGTTCTGCACCCTTGAGGTAGGTCTCTACCTCATTAGGTTGTTACCCTTTACTCTTAGTTCCCTAGAACTCTCCAGGCCATCTTCTCTGCTGGCCTTTCTTGTGATAGGTCCACAGAGGGGAAAGGAAGGAGAGAGGAGCATCAGGCTGATGTTAATAGCAAAAAGTAATAAAGCAAAAATACTGCACCAATAGCAGTGCAGTATTTGGTGACGTGCCTGTCAAAGGTAATGGCCTAGATGAAAGTTTTACATTGCTGTAGATTTCAGCTATCTCTTCCATAATTCTTCCTTCTTAGGTGGCTCCAGAAACGTGCTGCCTGATAGTTTTAGTATTGTTTTTAATTTAGTGTGGTGTAAAGGAAAGAACGGGAACATGGTTACTCATGTTCAGACTCAGGCTGTACCCCTGAGTTCCATGGCAAGTTAGTACCTCTCAGCTTCAGTTTAGGTTGTAGAATAGGATTACCAGTATCTGCCTCGCACGACTGATAAGGATTAAGTGGTCCCAGCGCTTGGTCAGCACAGTCAGTACTCATTCTCTTAGCCCTCTTGCCCTAGGACTGGAAGGCCAGAGTATTCTTGGTACCATAACTGCTGCAGCTTTCATGGATAATATACCTGAATTTGCTTGTATACCAAACATCTGCGGTCTTTGTGGTGTGTACCATGGGCCTGGCCAATGGAAGGCGGTTTCAGTGGTTAATACAGCAGTCCTAGGTAGGAAAATCTGGGATCTGGTTCCTGTTTGAGGCAGCTTTGTTGTCCTAGGTGGAGACTGACTTACTGCCTTCAGCTGTTGCTTCAGAGTGATTCTGAAACTAGAGGCTTAAAAAACGATTGAGATGGCTTTATTTGTTGCTTATACTTGTGTACATACTGCTCTTTCTGTGTAAAAGTGCCCCTTTCCCTGACTCAGGGATACTTCTACACAGTTTCCGTATTCAGATCAAATGTGCTTCCTCAAGTAGCATTTTCCCACCTTTCTCAAAAGAGGTAAGACCTCATTAACTTGTACTTTCGTGAACTTCCTTAAAGTCTTTAGTTTTTCACTTTGCCTTATTTGTGTGTCTCTAATCCTCCACTAGTCTGTGAGTCCTTAAAGGTAGACACTATTTTTACCCTCTGTACCCTTACCTTAGAAACTGAGACTGGCGCATTATAGGCATATAATAGATTTTTGTTGTATTGATTATTACGCTAATTTAATGTGGATCTTTTTTTTTCTTCTACCACAGTGCAGCATAAATTCGTAACATACTTTATACCTTCCTTCTCATAGCATCTTTTCCTAGTCTTCATTTCAATTTTTCCTTCTCTAGTGTTCTTCCTTTCTTTATGTAGATTCGAGTTTCTGACTTCAGTCATCTTCCTTCTCTGAAGAAATTCACTTAGCCTTTCTTGCAAGACAGGTCCCCTAGTGACAAATTCTTTTAATTTTGTTTGTCTGAGAAAATCTTTATTTCTCCTTCACTTTTGAAGGATGATTGTACTGGATACAGAATTCTAGGTTGGTGACTTTTCCCCCAAAAACCTTAAATATTTCTCTGTTCTTTTTTACATGGCTTCTGAAGAGAAATTCAGTGTAATAATATCTTTGTTTTCTGTAGGTAAGGTGTTCTTTATCTTACCCCCGACCCCTTCTTTCCAGATCTTCACTTTTGTCTTCTATTTTCTACAGTTTGGTATGATATGCCTGGGTAGAGAGTTTTTGGTATATATCCTGTTCGGTATTTGGCTGAGCTTCCTGCATCTGTGGTTTAGGGTCTGTCACTAAGTTTGGCAAATTCTCTTATTGCTTCAAATATTTCTTCTGTTCCTTTCTTTCTTCTCCCTCTGGGATTCCCATCACACATTTGTTTAGTAACTGCCCCATGCTACTGGTTTTTCTTTTTTCTTTCTACTGGCTTTCGAGTCTTGGGCGTGCATGTACTTTCCCTTGTTCCTGTATATGGAAAGGGAAGTGGTGGTTTTGTGTCCCCCAACCTGGTAGCCATCTGTTACTATGTCAGGGCCTGTAAACTTGTATTCACTCTCCTATAATTTCTAACTATTCAGGGGAAGACTTCTCCTTCTTTCACTAAGCTCACGTAAAGCTCCTTTTCTGCTGAGTGTTTCCAGCAAATAAACCTCATCCAGAAACTTAGATGGCAGTCTCTTATTTTATGCAGCAAAAAGTGAAATCCAAGCCTGCAAATGGTGAGCCCCAGCAGGAAAAACCAGTGCTTGGAAAAGACCAGCAACGGGAAGCAGCTCAAAACCACACACAGGAACAAAGCAAGGCCCCCGTGGGGCAGAAGGGGAAGCTGCATTCGTCCTCGTGGACAGGGTTCCAGACCAAGGCTGAAGTGGAGCAGGTGGAGCTGCCTGATGGAAAGAAGAGAAGAAAGGTCCTGGTGCTTCCCTCGCACCGAGGCCCCAAAATTAGGTGAGATGCAGAATGGTGGCATAGCACAGCGGATGGCTTCTCAGAGGGTTTGGTTTTGCTTAGCCCTTTTCCTCTTTGCGGCTTTTGTTTGGATGAAAGGTACGTTTAGCACTGTGTCAGTCCCCATAAAGGGTTGATGTGCAAGCATCTCTATACTGGCAGAGATGTCGCTCTTGGAACAATTGGAGGCTGGAATAGGACTAGCAGAGGGGGCCTCGGAGGAACTCCTAGGGCAGCTTTCTTGACATTTTTTTCCTCATCTGAAGAGCTTCCTCCCATCCAGAGGGCTGTCTGTCAGCTGAGGCCCACCTACTTGAGTTCATCTTGCAGATCCTGTTTGAGGCAGCAGATTAGTGCTATCAACAAAAGTCAATCTTTACAAAATATTTGTTAAATAAACGATGGTTTTGGGGAATCCCTTGAGGTCTTAAGCCAACATAAAAGAGTATACAAATGTTGAGCCTTAGGATATTCTGTTAGTTTTCCTTTTTAGAATGACTTATCCTGGGCTTAGAAAGAGCCAGTGTAAGAAAAGGAATTTTATCCTGTGGCTGAGACAGCCTCGGAGGTGCCAGTTAGAGGGAGAACTCAGAGTGACACTTACCTGACCTCTTATTGCAGGCTGCGGGACAAAGGCAAAGTGAAGTCTCTCCCTCCCAAAAAGCCAAAGCCCCAGATGACCCAGCAGAAGCCAGAGAAGCAGACATTACCTTCCAAGCAGGTGAGTTCTGTAGAGCACGAGGCTTTGGTATGGCAGGGCTGTGCCACGGCTGGTAGCCACTTTTGTTCCCTGATTAGTTAAGCAAAAAGAAAGGGCTTCTGGATTGCAACACTCTCTTGTAGAGGCTGTTGAGGTGTGGGGTTGTAAACGTGGAGAGAACCTGGGGCGCCTGGCTGGCTCAGTCAGAAAAGCATGTGACTCTTGATCTTGGGGTCATGAGTTCGAGACCCATGTTGGATGTAGAAATTATTTAAAAAAAACAACAAAAAAACTTGAAATGGGAGCACCTGGCTGGCTCAGTCTGTAGAGGATGCAACTCTTGATCTCAGGGTTGTAGGTTCGAGCCCCATGTTGGGTGTAGAGATTACTTAAAAATAAAAATCGTAGGGGCGCCTGGGTAGCTCAGTCAGTTAAGCATCTGACTTTGATTTCAGCTCAGGTCTTGATCTCAGGGTTGTGAGTTCAAGCCCCACATTGGGCTCCACACTGGGCATGGAGCTTACTTAAAAAAATCTTAAATAAATAAGAAATAATTAAATAAATAAGTTATTAACTAAGTAAATTAATAGATAAATAAAATAAAAGTAGAAAGAACCCACACATTAGTTTCTCTACTTCAACCATTCTCTTATTTTATCTATTCCTCATACATACAGCCCCCTACCCAGAGTATATTAAGGCAAACTCAGCTTCACATGTAAATATGCCTTAAATGAAAATGAGATGTATTGCTCAGAAAAATACCTCTAATGAATCATGGAACACTGCATCAAAAACTAATGATGTAATGTATGGTGGTTAACATAACAATAAAAAAAATTATTAAAAAAAGAAAAATACCTCAGAATGCATCTCCAACTGACTGGGCCTTAAAAATACGTATATATTATGCCATTATCATATCTAATGAAATTAGTAAAAAGCCCTTAATATCATCTAATATGCAGCCCGTATTGAAATGTCCCCAGTTACCTCAAAAATATTCTTTTGTAGTTGGTTAGTACAGATTAAGATCCAGACAGAGTCCACACATTACATTTGGTTTTTATATCTCTTAAATCTTTTTTTTCCTATAATAACTCAGTCTTCCTCATCAGCGCCCTTTTTTCCATGCTGATAATTTGTTGGAGAAACTGAGTTATTTGCCCTTCAGAATGTATTACATTTTGAGTTTAGCTGCTTGCTGCCTTGTGTCATTTAACCTGTCCTGTGATACCTGGTGTTGTCTGTAAACTGGTAGTTAGATGTACAGGCTTGATTAGATTCAAGTCCAGTTTTCTTTTTCTTTTTGTAAAGATTTTATTTTTAAATCATCTCTATACCCAGTGTGGGGCTTGAACTCATAACCCTGAGATCAAGAGTCGCATGCTCCACTGACTGAGCCAGTCACGTGCCCCTCAAGTTCAGTTTTCTTGGCAAGAGTATTTCATGAGTGGTGCTGGGTGCTTTCTGTGCATCAGCATCCTAAGGCACATAACGTCTGGTTACCCCATTTTTAGTTGATGCTCAAGTTGATTAGTAGATCTGTAGGCTTAGAGGTTGTCCTCCTCTCTTCTGTTTGTGAAGTTCCCATCAGTCTCTCACCTAATGGTTTCAGCACCCATTGATGATTACTGTCTAGATCCATGATTTCAATATGGCGTGCAGAATGGTGATTTTCTAGCGTTTTGTTTTTGGGTTTTTTTTTTCTTTCAGTTCTTTTGCATTGTTTTGGTAGAATTCTAGAGAAAAAAAATCTTCCCTTGTCAACTATATGGTTACCATGAAATACCATATATATAGGAAAGGCAGGATAAATGCTTGATTTAATTTCTCTTTATCAGTTTTCAGAGTAACAAGTTGGTGCCCTATCAACCTCCCATGGTGACCAATAAGATCTTTTTAGTATTACAAATTCCTGAGTTTTTTTTTTTGTTTTTTTTGTTTAAGATTTTATTTATTTATTTGACAGAGAGAGAGACAGCGAGAGCAGGAAAACAAGCAGGGGGGAGTGGGAGAGGGAGAAGCAGACTTCCTGCGGAGCAGGGAGCCCGATGTGGGGCTCGATCCCAGGACCCTGGGATCATAACCTGAGCTGAAGGCAGACGCTTAACGACTGAGCCACCCAGGCACCCCAGATTCCTGAGTTTTTATATACCTGATGTGTTGCAATCAAATGCAGGTATTATTCTTGTCCCATTTAGGCCAGCAGAAGGCCCTTCAGGTTGGCTCCTGAGTTCTTCTGATATGCCCCTGTCTTTGGTGGTGTCCTTGCTTTCTGGTACAACCAGATGTCCCAGCTCATCTTACATATTTCTTCCCTGGTCCTGGCATTAGCCATTTTTCCAAGCAGCCCTAGTTCCTTTTAGTAGAAAATTGTGGTTCTACATTCTTGAACATTTGAGGTCAAGATTTCTTTTACCCTTCCCTTGTCCCTTTCTTTTAAGTTTCAAGGGTAAAAGAAGCATTAGCTTCTCCTACTCAAGGAATCTGTGCCTCTGGGAAGTCTGACCCATACCGTACTGTCTTAAGAGCTCTATCTCTGAAATCCCATAAGCAGGATTCTCGTTGAGGGAAAGGGCCATCAAGAAGGTGCAAACTCTGGACTCATTCATCTGCGAGAAGGTTCTTGCAGAAGCATTTGAGAGTGAGAGCTCTGAAGCACCTGCACAGTGTTTTAGTGGGGCCCTTCTCTTAGGCATTCCTGGTCTGGTTTCTTACCAATGGATGGTTCATTTTGGGTTTTTCTAAGGGTCACTCTCTGAATGTCCACCTCTTGTGGCCGACAAGATTTCTTATATTCTCTCTTGGGTGGCATAAAGGTAAGGTGACATTCAGTGCTTGAAATTGATCTTGTTTTTCCTTACCTTTCATTTATAGGCCCCTGGGAAGAAAGCTAAGGGAAATAAGACCGAAATCCGCTTCAATCAGCTGGTCGAACAATATAAGCAGAAATTACTGGGACCTTCTAAAGGAGTACCTCTTGCAAAGAGGAGCAAATGGTTTGACAGTTGATGGTGGCAGCAGACTGGATAAGAAGCTGGATTCTTGGTCAAGCTCCCAGGTCTCCCTCCACCCCCTAATGTTATTCTCTGAGGGAGGGACACCCCCCTTCCTCCCCAGGGCACTGCCACTTTGTTGGGAGGCCCCCTGGGCTCTGCACATTTGAACTTTGGGCCCTCCCCTGTGCGTGATTAGTGAACCACAGAGAGAAATCTCAGAAAAACATCACGATGCTTATTGTGTATTATCCAAGTTATTGTGTGAATTGTATCTGTAATTATTGCCCATTTAATCCTTTGTTTCTCAAATGGAAACAGTTGTAAAAAGGATTCTTGAGGACTGAATTTTTAAGATTTATATTTTGTTAAGTGTCTCCTCTAAAGGAGCTCTTGTTTGGCTTTTTGAATAACAAACTATTTCTGATTTCTAATAGATGTGAATCCTTTATTATTTATGAACATTGACATTCCTAACTCTAATTCAGTTACATAGTTCTACATAATGCAGGAATTGAGTAAGAACAGAGAAAAATGATTTCCAACCTAATCTCTGAGAGTGGGAGAGACTGGGAAAGTCATTGAGAGCAGTGGGGCCTGGCAGAGAGCAACATTTGATAATTATTTGTCAGATAAGTAGGTTATAATGGGCAGTTGACTAGAAATCAGTTTGCATTGCCCACTGTCACTAGCCTGGCTGGTGATGACCCACCTTTTCTTTCCTCAGGACTTAACAGAGGTAGGAGTTGGTCGAGGGAGCGGTGAGCATGAGGCCTAGGCTCTAGCTTGTCCTGTCTTACCTAATGGGTGGCCTTGAACCAGACACAGACTCTCTGAGCCTTAGTTTTCTCATCTGTAGAGTAAGGAATTGAATCAAAGTTTTCTCTGATCCATTTTGGCTCTACTCTTTTTCTAATTCATTCATTCTAAATTCATAATCTTCTTTTAAACTCAAAGAGGATAGAGATGACTCTTTATTTCCCAAAACTTTAGAGGTATCACAAAAGCTGGGAGGGATGGTGAATAAATATTAGAGAGTCAAGATCCAAAAAAGATCACGATAACCTGAAGGAATGGGCTGAATCTGATAAGATGAAAATCATGGGAGCAAACATAAATTCCTTCACTGGGGTTCAAAAGCCGTACTGCATAAGTTCTGGTTGGAGAGTTTGAGTTGATTGAATTCACATTATGAAGCAACAGTATGGCTGCCACACGTGTAATAGGACGGTTAGCTGTAGTAGTAGAAATGAGATGTCTCCAGAGAGTCAGCTGCTAATACTCCGGGTTGGACATACCACACCTATGAGACAAATGTAATGGCCAAGTTGGTGAAGGAAATCAAAAAGAGAGATGGAAACACAATCGGTCATGAGTTGATTGTTGTTGAATCTGGTCGTAGGTAAATGCAGATGTATTATATTGTTCTCTCTGCTTCAGCAGACATTTGAAATTTTCCATAATAAAAAGTTAAAAAGTTTAGAAAGTCAGATGAGTAACTGAAAGAAACCGGTCTCACTTGCCTGAGAAGGGAATTCTTGGAGTGTTATTAGCTGTTGGTAGAGCCCAGAAGGATATATGGAGGCAGATGAGTAAAAGTCACAGGAATCGGATTTTTGAAGAACTTCAGTGTAGCTGTCAGAGGGGCATGAGTCCCATCTCTGGAACAGACCAAGTAGAGTAAGTCCCGGATAGTGCCAGGGCATTCCAGTACCAGGGGATTGGGCTACAGGAGGCCATAAGGATTGGTCAGCTGAGTAATGTTTGGCCCCAGGATGACCTGAAGATGGGCTTTGTGTCTTCACCCTAGTCCCTGAGGCCCCTTTCTAAAGCAGACGTCATCATTCTCTGTGCAATGTCCTGCAGCTACTTGGTCCTCATGAAGTCCGCCCCAGACTTGAGATGGTGTAGCTCCTGCAACAGGCAGTGCCCTCAGTTCTCCAGCCCCTACCACCTCTCCTACTTGTCTATCCTTCTCTCCCTTGCTTTCATTTTTGGCTTCCCAGCCCTTCCTTCGGTTCCTTTGACTCTACCACCTCAGAACCTTTGTTAAGTTTATTCCCTTCGCCTGGAGAACTATTCCCTCAGAACTTTTGCTTATCACTCGGATCTCCACCGAGCTGTCACCCCTCCTGGAGCTCTTTCCTGGCTAAAGTAGGGCTCTTCCGCTCCTCTCTCTCCTGCCCCCATCACTGAATCCTGTTACTCTTATTTTCTTCCTAGCACTCAGTCTATCTGAAATTATTTGTTTGTTCCCCTCGTTAGAATGTTTGCTTTGTGAGAGGAACTTGATTTCTCATTGGTCCTGGAGACACAGCACCTAGAATTGAACCTGGCACATAGTAGGTAAGGAGTAAATGTTTTTTGAATGAAAAAAAAAAAAATGGGCAAAGGAAGAAACAATACTCAGTGGGTCAGAGAAAGAGTTGGAAATATAGTCCAAAGTTCTTGACTCTCTAGTCCAACCTGGTGCTATAATAAATGATGCTTTCTGGAGAACCGTTGCAACCCTAGGGATATGGCTGTTGCAGTATCTTGGGAGGACCAATGAATGCTCAAAAATGCCCTGAATTGGTTTAAAAATGGATAAAGGAGAGACCCTGAAAATACTTAAAAGCCTTTCTTGGGCGAGAACCAAAGGACAGGGGCTGTATCTCCAGAGTTCTCTTGAGACAGTATGACTTTGGGAGTTTGAAACGTTCTTGAAATAGCTTGGCCACACATCTGTCCTAGGAAGGTCTGTACACTGGGGAGGGAGCAAGATACTTTATTAAGGTATACACAGACTGACTCCACCGTCTGCCTGTTAACTAATCTGTTTTCTCCTGGCCAACTCTGCTCACCAGATACTTTTTTGGGGTATACAAATATCTATAAATTAACATTCAAAAATATGTCTTGACATTTAGAATAGATAAAAATTGGTGTTCATTCAGATAGCTTTGCCATATTCTCTTAGATCCAGATGCTTCTTCTGATAGCTTTAGCAACCTTGCAAAGTTAGTGCTCAGTTCTTTTAAAAAGTGATATGCGGACCAGTCATCCACATTCTCAACAACCTGATTCCTTACATGGTATTGTCCTTCGGGACACCTTGCTGTACGTTATCTCTGCCTTGGGAGTATTAATGCATGAGAGTTGTGCTCACTTCTTCACTTCAGAGCCTAAAGTTTCATGAAATGGAATTTTCTGAATTAAACATGGAGGTACAGACTGCTTAGTTAAAACACAACCATAATAAACATTTTGTTAACATCCGAGACCGAATGCCTTCAGTCAAACTTAAGTTTCAGTAGCATCTTTCTGCTTGGTTACAGTAGCCTGGCTCAGAAATCTTTCTTTTAAATAAAGAGTCGTAAGATTGTGTGCTATTTCTTTGCTTTCTGGGGGGCTACTTGGTAGTTTCAAGGAATCTGCTCTGATCCGGGAGGTATAGTCCCTTCCTTTAAGGGTTAGCCTGCAACAAGCATGTTTCAGCTGTCTTCTGTAAACTTCTGTGACAGAGTTAGGACATGTGAATTCATTCTTTTTTAAGTTTTTCATTTTAATTCCAGTATAGCTAACATAGTGTTATATTCGTTTCAAGTGTACAATGTAGTGATTCAACAATTATATACATCACCTGGTGCTCATCACGACAAATGCACTCCTTAATCCCCATCACCTGTTTCACCCATCCCCCCACCTCCCCTCTGGTAACCATCAGATTGTTCTCTCTAGTTAAGTGTCTGTTTCTTGGTTTGTCTCTTTTTTCCTTTGCTCATTTGTTTTGTTTCTTAAATTTACATATGAGTGAAATCATAAGGTATTTGTCTTTCTCTGACTGACATTTATAATACTCTCTAGATCCATCCTTGTTGTTGCAAATAGCAAGATTTCATTCTTTTTTATGGCTGAATGTGAACTCATTTTTCAAAATACTTCCAAACATCTTGTGGTCTGTTTTTGCCTTGAAAAGAATTTTTCCAGTGAAGCATTCAGCACCCAGAACCTCAGGGCACCAGAGATCCCCTTCTCACCATGTATTTGGCCTTCAGTCATCTGAGGAAGCAAGAGGTCAACTATGCCAGAGTGAGTGCTGACCACCCAGAATCTTCAGTCTTATGCCCTCTGATTGACCAAGGAGCTGGTTCTCTGCTTTGTATCCCCGTGACTCACTTTTTGAGGCGTGATTGACAGGCATCTGCCAATTCTGTCCTAGAAGTAACAGCTCTACCCACGCAACCTGGCAAGTTCCTGAAACTTCTCCGCTCCATCATGGCAGTAGCTACATCATCAGACTGTGAGGATGCCCAAGATAAATTGGTATTTCAGTTTGTTTCAGATGACGCTCACCTATGCTTTCTCCCACTCAGCCCTAACTGGTGCTTCCAGGGCCAGGAGGAGCTTGCTTTGTTTCTCTCAGGCCAGGTAAAGATTTTCAGCCTTCCTTTGTCCAAGGTTGACCGATTTAGAAGTTACCCACAGCTGTTGTCTTACGTTGGTTCTCTAGTTCTTGTTCTGATGCCTCTTCCTTACCAGGATTGATTGCAGAGTCTGAGACTGCTCATTGATTGGGGTGCTCTTCAGTGGCCCAGCCATGGATGAGTTATAGGTATCTCTGCAATTACTTTGGCTTCTGATTCTGAACGGGCGTTCGGCTGTGGACAGGCTCCTGTGCTTGAGAAGGAATACACTGGGAGGAATATGGAAGACACAAGACTGAGCCTGGTAACTAATTCTGAGAAAAAAACTGCAGAGTCACCAGAATACCTTTGGACCACCCACAAATGGAGTGTCTTGATAGATGGCTAATCCGGTTTTCCTTAGACTTGTCCGTGCTGCCCAGAGCCTGCCACCATTTATCAGACAGAGGACCTCACTGTTGCAGAGTCATCCTGAATCTTTGTCACTGGCCATTTGACAAAAGGAAAATCCTTCCTGCCCTTGAGGGCAGGGACTGTATTTCACACTTTTCTATATACTCTGCAGGACGTGACAATGATTTACACATAGTAGGAGTTCATTTCATTCTGTTGAACTCACTGAAGGCCATCTGCTTCAGGGCTTAGCTGGGCTTATGGAGGACAACAGAGTCATTTCCTGAGTGAGGTATGTGAAAGGGACCCAAAATACGAAGTGATAGAATACTAAAGAGCTAGTCACAGTCCCTTGAACACACCACCTGTGTCCTTTTTACTGTTCTTGTCCATCCATGCTAGTTCCTTGTCCAAAGTGAACACCTTTCCACTGGTGTATTCAAGCTGGATTTCTCCCTGGGGACCCTGCCCAAACCAGGGAACTGCAATCCC